ATATATATAAGAAATCATTAAATATGTTAGGACCATTGTATTTTATTAGTCAATTATAAAGTGATCTAATTAAGTCAATTATGGCTAAGAGTTATATGTCATGAAAAGTTTATTGTATAGAGATTAATAATAATTTTAATTTGTTGAAGAGACCAAATTGAAATTATTAAAACTTAGAAAAGTAATCTATAGAGGTTACATAAAGGGGATCTTATTCCCCATGTGTGAGCCCGCTCATTATTCCTATTTCTTTCTCTCTATCCCCATCAAGAGAGAAAATCAAGAGGGAATGTAAAATGTTCTTTCGAGAAAGGATGAGAGACCAATATACATTATACATTGTTTTATTAATTTTTTTCAATGGACAATCCTTTATGTCTGTTTCTATTTTCGGTTTTATAGAGAATTGAGAACTACTGTATTTTAAAAGAGTTTATTGCTCTTAATTATTGATATGAATTAATGAGCAATAAACTCTTACAAAATAGAATAGTTTCCAATTTTCTTTAAAACAAAAAATGAAAACATACATGAAAGATTAACCATTGAAAACAATTAATAAAACAACATAGTAGATTAGTATTTGATCTTCCCTTTGTAAAACACCTTATATTCCACCTTTTTCTCTCCTAATGGAGATATAAAGAAAAGAATAAGAATAATGAATATGTTCACAAATGGAGACCATAACCCTTTCTGTAATTTTTGTTAGTTACTTCTTCTCAAATTCAATAATTTCAATTTGACTCTTTCAACAAATTAAAATTATTATGAATCTCTACACAATAAATCTTTTATAACATATATGTCCTTAACCATATTTACTTAATTAGATCACTTTATAATTAACTGATAAAATATAATAACCTAACATATTTAAGAATTTATTATATATATATATATATATATATATATATATATATGACCCAAAATTACTAAAAGCTTCTTCACAAGTTTTATGAGTCAAAGGCTCCTTGATGATTATGTTGCTCCATGGTTAGAATCATCAAAATGTAACCAAGCACACACTCGTAGGGAAGAAAGGGAAGACATAAGCATGTTAAGGATCAGTGACATGGCTTATCAATTTGTAACAAATATATTCCGATATATTTCCATACCTTGGTACTGGTCTAATATTTTCCAGCTATAGATATAAACATTTGTCGGTAAGAGTAATACAGTAATAATTATACTATCATATCATACAGTGAAATAATTCAATGAAAACTTAATTTGTTCCAAAAAAAAAAATTTAAACATTATAATGATATTTTTATTTTATTTTATTCATTTTTCTTCCATTGCATCCTGTTACATTCCACTTGCCATTGAATATCCAAACATAATCTAAATAGTTTGAGAACATATAGAAACTACAACAAAAGCAATCCGGAGATGAAAATTTGAAAATTGGGAATTACATGCCGTTCCGACAAACGCTCTCAGAGATTGGTTATAACACAGACTACTTCAGATGGTGCTCGAACAAAGATGCCATCTCAATCTGTACACAGATAACTTAAGAACATAAAATATTTATTCAACTACAAAGAATAAGGTAAATATCCTAGTAGCTCGACTAATACCTATTGCAATCTTTCAAGAAATTTTATGAATGATTCAGGATTCAGTGCCTTGTGTATTAATTTTTTTGCTGACATGCAATTTACAAAGCAATTTTGATAACTAATTACATTGAAAATGGTCGTGTAATGTGAATTCATCTCATTTTAGAGTAAGAGTTTTAGACATGGTTGCCTACTTGGGCTTAGATTAACGTTCGACATTTACCACATTCTTAAAAAATGGAGAATTTCTTTTTGCACCCTCTACTTTTCCTCTGCACCCCTACCAATATGACAATGCCACTTTGTCATTCTGGTTTATGAAAAACTGACTTCAGAATTGTCCAATCTAAAAACTCTTCTTTTATTCAAAAAATGACTTCAAGATAATTTGGAAGATCTTTAGATTGTACAATCTGAAAGTCAAAATTGACTTTTGAATTACATAATTCAAAAGTCATTTTTTACTTCTAGACTGTGTACTCCAAAAGCATTTGACTGAGTTTGGACAATCTGAAAGTCAATTTTTGCATAAAAAAACCTTCCGAATTGCACAATCTAAAATTACACAAAAACAAATGCTTCCAAATTACACAATCCGGAAATTATTGTTGAGATCAGAATTCCATCAGAATGCAGTAGTATTTTGACATCTTCTGAGTAGAGAAAGGATGAAAGTAGAAAAGGTGCAACCATAATAAGACAAGATCAGAGGGGAAGCGGCAGAAGAGGACGGAGAAGAACCAACAGACAATGTAGAAGATGACAGAGACTAAGGGCATTATTGTCTTTTACACACCCCCATGGAGGTTTAGGAAGAACCCATGGGAGTGCAGGTAGAAATAACCTTTAAAATGTCCAATAATTGACCACTTTGGATGAAGCTCTATGCTAAACCCAGCCCTTCTCAAAGCACACTTTATTCCGATATAATGAAGAGTGTCGAAGAATCAATTCAAACCATTCTAAGCCCAACAATTAACTTAAAATAGTGAAAATTGCAAAATCCACACCTTTTTATTCTGTTCCACGTCTAAAACGAACCTAAAACATGCGAACCACAAAAATAAAGAAAGTTTTCCTACACTACTCTCAAATAAACTTGAGATTATATTGACATGTGATTTGTAATTTAGATCATACTCACATTTATGAAATGAGCTTTAATACTTTGAACAAGTTTTCATCCAATAACTATTATGTATATTACTTTTAATTCAATAAATGTTTTTCCCTTGCAAGATCCACTAGAAAAATTCATGTATTGGTTTGAGGCTCTACTTTCACCCTCTACTCAATGAACTTTCCCTTTTTCCGAATTAAGAACTAAGTGTTTCCCCTTAAATAAAAAGACAAAAACAGAATTAACTGATGCGATACAAATTGCAAACTGATCCACCAAATCATAAGTTTGTTTTATGATCAAATCAAATGTCTCTTTTGTCTCAACTAATCCAACCAAACTGTGAACACGTCTAATTATTGAATAGAAGATGTAAACTTGGAATAAACGATTCAGAGGTATCTTTCTATAACCTCTTTTAGCTGTATTACACCTCTAGTACCTCCAATGTGACTAATGTAAAACATTTTGCTAAAACTCCCTATTTCTTTGAATTGCTATTATCAAGTCCTTTTGAGTTTTCATCCACACAAAATCCCCTTTTTCTATTTAAAATCTCCACAGATTAATCTAAGACACTTTAAATCCTCTTATGATCAAAACACATCAATTGAAATATCAGAATACTTTTCCCTCGTCAAAACAAAAAACCGGTTCCTACGAAATCTTTCAAATGTTATCAAACTTTTACCAAAGCCTTTGAATGGGATGCGTTCAAATATTTTTCCATAAAAATAAGACCCAACCCAAATTATTTGAAAAGAAAATGAGCATTTAAGGGCTTATATTATAAGACTTAAGGAAGAAGGAAACCGACTATGGGGCTCGATTTTAGTAATTCTAAAAAATGATAAATTAAATTTGAGCAAACACTAATAAGAAGAAAAGTGCCTTATTCACAATAGAGGAACCAAAAGTGCAATTATGCTGAGTTTTTGATAGAAAAAGAAATTCATTAACAAAGAATTGGGGAGGTGGACTATCCATTGAGGCCCTGTGTGGGATGATCTCAGTATGTGGAGAAACAGGTGTAGAAGGATTGTGATCAAGACTTGGAATGACAGAGACAGTGGAGCTATTTGACTCAGCCATTGGAATAGGAAGGACTTGCTGGAGGATAGAAACATCCTGAACAGATGGAGAGAAGTAAGGAGTCTGTTCAAAGAATGTGACATTGGCAGACATGTAATACTTCTTAGTTTCAGGAGAGTAACACCGATATCCTTTTTGAAGTCGAGAATAGCCTAAGAAGACACATTTGAGAGCGCGAGCGGAGAGTTTGTCTAGACCTGGAGACATGTCATGAACAAAACATACACAGCCAAACACTCGGGGAGATGTATGAAAGAGAGGATCATTAGGAAACAAAATGGAGAAAGGGACTTTATTATCAAGAGAGGAGGAGGGCATCCTATTAATAAGATAACATGAAGTTAAGATGGCATCCCCCCAGTGATGGACAGGAATATGGGCACCAAGCAAAAGGGTACGAGCAGTTTCAACCAAGTGTCTATTTTTTCGTTCTGCTATACCATTTTGTTGTGGTGTATGAGGACAAGTAGACTGATGTAAGATACCATGGGAACTCAAGATGGCAGAAAAGGAGGATGAGAAATACTCTTTTGCATTATCAGTTCTTAATATTTTGATTACTTGACCAAATTGATTCTTGATTTCATTCAAAAAGGATGTAAAGATAACTAACAATTCAGAACGATTTTTCATAAGATAAACCCAAGTACATCTTGAATATTCATCAATAAAGGTAACAAAATATCTAAAACCAAAGGAGGAGATACGACTAGGTCCCCATATATCAGAATGGATGATGGAAAAACTAGAATTACATATTGATTGAGACCTTTTAGGAAAGGAAGATCTAACATGTTTTCCTAATTGACATGACTCACATTCTAAAGTTTGGAGACCACTAAGTTCAGGACACATCTTTTTTAATTTGGACAAATGAGGATGGCCAAGTCGATCATGTAGCACTTTAGGATTAGGAGCAGCAACACAAGACACCCTTGGACGAGATCCAAAATGGTATAATCCGCCAGCTTCATATCCTTCTCCAATCTGTCTCCCCGAACCACGCTCCTGTATAACAAAAGATTTATGATCAAAGGTTATTGAACAATTTAACATTTTAGTCAACTGGCTTAAGGAAATTAAATTAAAAGGACAATTAGGGACAAAAAGGACTGAGTTGAGATTGAGGGAGGGAGACAAAGAAACATGACCGACTCCTTTGGAAGAAGTTTTAGATCCATTTGCAAGGGTTATGAAATGAGGTTTTTCTCGAAAGGAAATAGATGAGAACAAAGAGGTATTACCAGAAATGTGATCAGAAGCACCTGAGTCAATTACCCATGAATTTTGACATTCCATAGATTGAGAAACGCAGGCTGTTGATGTATTGGGAGATTGAGATGGTTGTGCCAAGCTGTTAGACTTTAACCTTAAATACTCTTGATATTCATCCTCAGAAAACATAGAAGTGGAGGTTTCAGTTTTCGAAGTGGAAGTTTCAGTCTTCGAAATATTGGCGGTTTTGGAAGGGAAACCATGTAAGGAGTAGCAATTCTCTTGAGTATGACCCATCCTTTTACAATATGTGCATTGAGTACGTCCCCGACCTCCTCGTCCTCCTCCTCTAGTGCCACGTCCTCCTCTTCCTCGTGTGGCAACCATGACAGATGGTTCCACTAGTTCATGCGCTTCTTGAGTTTGAGATACCGGGACACGCAGAAGGCGAGTGGTCAATGTTTCCATAGAGGGAACCTCATGACTAGTTAGAAGTTGATCTCTGAGATGATCAAAATCGGGATGTAGGGCACGAAGGATCAACACCATGTAAAATTTGTCTAGTTTCTTTTTGATATCCTCTAATGGATCTACTTCCAAAAACATCCTAAGTTCTTCGACAGCAGATTGGGCTTCAGCCATGAAGGACACCATATCATGGTCTGCCATTTTAAGAGATGCAAGCTTGTTCGTAGTGTCATAGAGACGTTGAATATCGTTGGCATAAATGCTTTGGGCTTTCTTCCAAAAGGAGTGACAAGTTTTGAAAGCCCTCAAAGATACAAGAAGTTTGGGTTCCACTGATTGCCATAACAGGGTACACAACTGGAAATCTGCTTGTTTCCACTGATCAGCTTTTTCAGTAGGCACATGGCTTCCATCTCGCTCAAGGTGGTCATAATGCCCTTGGCCAAGGAACCACATTTCAACAGCAGCAGACCATGATAGATAATTTTTTCCATTTAGCTTCTCGGAGGTAATTGATGGACTTCCAGAGAAGGAAAGAGTACTGCCAGACGCCATCTCTGAAGAAGACAAATAGTACTAGCGAGGAACAAGACAACCCTAAAGGTTTAGACGAAGGAAACTGTGACAGTGATGGACGACGGTGGCCGGCAACGGCGGGCGGTGAACGGCGGCCGGCGACGGACGACGGTGGCCGGCGGCGACGGTGGCCGGCGGCGGCGACGGTGGCCGGCGGTTGACGGTGGCCGACGGCGGGCAGCGGCGGGCGACGAAGAACTATGGCGCCGGACAGATATATATTACGAGACAGAAACCAGAGCGGGATCGACCCGCTCTGATACCAACTTAAGATTGAAAAGAAATAATTCTTGAGGGCTTGATTGATCCCTCTCACAATCTTCTATTTATAAGAATAAATTGATACACAAATACATGATAAATAGGGTAACCCTAGACACAATATAATCATGATAAATAGGGTAATCCTAGACACAATATAATCATGATAAATAGGGTAACCCTTGACACACTATAATGATGATAAAATAGGATAAATATCCTAACAATTAACAAAGAAGAGATACATACACAGAGATGTAATAAAATCAATCATGAGCCTTTGCCTAACATCTTATGTTCTTCGGGGTAGTTAGCTTGTGTTAGGTTTCTATGTTTGAAAGCTAACCAAACACACTCTCACCCAACAGAATACAAAGATGAATGAAAGAAATTCTCTTATTTCAGAACGAATAGGCACTGTACAAAGAATGGGTTGGGAGCATAACCTCCCTCTACAGGCTAGAATCCTATCTTTACAACAAAATATACTTGATATCGCATACAGAGTTACAGGAGCTCTATTTAAAGCAGCTCTGACACGCTCCCCTATTCAACAGAAACCTCTACCCCTTAACTGCTCGGCCTGTTATCGCAACCGCTCGGTCTCTCCTATTGGTATCGTTCGATTGTCCCCGCTACCGTTCAGCTTCTATTCTAAACCTATCATCCTATATCCTAACATTACACCTCGGCCGAAACAACCTTGTCCTCAAGGTTGAAACAGGTAAGCTTGCTCAGGAGGCTTAGGTAGTGGCAAATCCTCTTCTTCATCGTCTTCTTCATCCTCTGCTAAGAGTACCACCAACAGGCTCCTTTCTGGACAATGGTGACCGAGCGCGAATGGTCCTCCACATCGAAAACATCGCCCCTCTTCTTTTCTCTTCAGGAACTCAGGATAGGGCAGGTTCCTCACCGTTCGGCTTCTGTTGTAGCTCCCGCCCATACCATTCGGTCCCCTGTTACCGTTCGGTCTAGTGTTGGCACTCGTTCGACTTCTTCTCTTCTCACCGATCCTACGCTTTTTGCCCCGCTCGGTCGACTCGGATTAGGGCGACTGATCTCATTTCTTGTTACTGCCCCGATCGCTCGTTCCCAAGATTGAGAATTCTTGGTCGCATTCCAACTCCCCCTCTCGCTCCATGCATTGCGTCCTCCACGTCGCACGTGATTCTCATTTCGTTTGTCAGCTCTTGCGGATCGTGAATTAGAACCTGCCCCTTAATGTCCTCGAGCAGTCCGGCGAGGAAATATCCCAGCACCTGCTCCTCCGATACGCCACGGGCTTGCTCCACCAATATCTCAAACTGTTGGACATAATCTTCCACGGTGTCCTCCTGTCGCAGCGTCGCCAGTCGTTCAAACACCGTCCTCCGAAACCCACCTCCAAACCGGCCAATCATGGCTACTTTAAGGCCCTCCCAAGAACGATTCTTGGCCTTATCTTTCCAAAACTTGAACCAGTACCCAGTGCTGCCTTCCATGCTTGTGTATGCGAGTTCCACCTTTTCTTCCTCCGCCACTTTCTGAATATCGAAAAATCGTTCCGCCCGATTGATCCAACTGTGAGGTTCCAGCCCTTCGAACGTGGGTAAGTCCACCCTTTCCTCCAATTACTCTGTACCTCCTGGTGATCGCCGCCGTGATCGTGGGTTCGGGTCCCACCATGATCGCCACCCACTCTCCCTCCAATATCTTCCTCGCACTCGCTGGTTCCCGTTTACGGAAGCCTGTCTTCCCCCTGATTGTCCTTCGTTATTGTGAGCCCGCGCCCCCATCATCCTCATTAGTTCTTACAAGTCTCGGCGCACTGCAGCAGATTCCGCATTCATCCCTTCCATCGTAATCTCCAGAGCCTCCAATTGTCCCTTTGTGCTTCCCTCCATCTTCGCTTCGCACCCAATTTTGATCCGGCAGTTTCTTGATAACGTCTTGATCCCTTCTTGATCCTCCGGCACTCTTCTCCTATTTTCACGGCAGTTTCTTGAAATTGCAGGTCGAACCAAATTGTTAGGTTTCTATGTCTGAAACCTAGCCAAACACACTCTCACCCAACAGAATACAAAGATGAATGAAAGAAATTCTCTTATTTCAGAACGAATAGGCATTGTACAAAGAATGGATTGGAAGCATAACCTCCTTGGTTGGGAGCATAACCTCCCTCTACAGGCTAGAATCCTGTCTTTACAACAAAATATACTTGATATCCCATACAGAGTTACAGGAGCTCTATTTAAAGTAGCTCTGACACGCTCCCCTATTCAACAGAAACCTCTACCCTTTAACCGCTCAGCCTGTTATCGCTACCGCTCGGTCTCTCCTATTGATACCGTTCGGTTGTCCCCGCTACCGTTCGGCTTCTATCCTAAACCTATCATCCTATCATCCTATATCCGGCAGGTCAAACCAAATTGTTAGGTTTCTATGTCTGAAACCTAACCAAACACACTCTCACCCAACAGAATACAAAGATGAATGAAAGAAATTCTCTTATTTCAGAACGAATAGGCATTGTACAAAGAATGGGTTGGGAGCATAACCTCCTTGGTTGGGAGCATAACCTCCCTGGTTGGGAGCATAACCTCCCTCTACAGGCTAGAATCCTGTCTTTACACCAAAATATACTTGATATCCCATACAGAGTTACAGGAGCTCTATTTAAAGTAGCTCTGACACGCTCCCCTATTCAACAGAAACCTCTACCCCTCAACCGCTCGGCCTGTTATCGCTACCTCTCGGTCTCTCCTATTGATACCGTTCGGTTGTCCCAGCTACCGTTCAGCTTCTATCCTAAACCTATCATCCTATATCCTAACAGCTTGAGTTATGACCTGCTATAAAAATGAGTTTTATGTTCGAAGTACTAAACTCAGATTATTTATTAACCATCACCTAACAATTTGACCTTTTCCCGTAATCAGTTCATGACATATACAAAGACAGGAGGACAAGATACATGAAAACTACAATAGACAATGAGTATAAATCTCTAGACAGCTTCATGTAAATTTTCAAATGAATATTGCATAATTACTTCATAATATCAAGTTATCAACTTACTGCAGTCAATGCAGCCTCGGCACCCTTATTTCCAGATTTGCCACCAGCACGATTTAGAGCCTGCACTTAGCCAAGAAGAACAAATAGAAATCAAAGTAATCATTTGTCTCATCTGCAAGAACATATTTCATAACTTTCACAGCAAATACTTACCTGATCCATGTTATCACATGTTAGGACACCAAATATGCACGGAACACCTGCAAAAGCATCTCAAAATGCTTTAATTTTCCCTGTTGATTAATTAATGAAGAAAAAAAATACTAACAAAGTGACAATAGTAATAAATGTCCCATTCATAGACCAAAAGAAAAAAATAGGCGTTAGCTTAACTGATAAGCTTAGAGGAAACATAAAGCTTCAGTAATCTATTCAGTGAAGACCAATGTCAAAGTTAACTTACACAGGAATTGTATTACGGACTTAAAAAGAAAAAAATAATCAACCATTTAAAAAATAATTCTCAAATTTCAAGTATCTTCTCAACCTTGATTCTAGATTCTACAAAAACAAGTTGTGATACAAATGTTGCATGAATGTTTCATTTTCAACAAAACAGATAGCAATTGAATACTCAAATATGATCTGTTCCAATCTAGAGATTACAATTAACTTTAACAGAATACTACCTGAGTTTAGACTGGCTGAAAGCACTCCAGATGCTGCTGAATTAGCAACTGCATCATAGTGGGTGGTGTCTCCCCGTATCTGTTAACAAGAAGTTTGGTCACAGTAGAAACTCAAATTTAGTAGACATAAATAAAGATAATGGATACCCATTGATCATAAAAATGTTATAAAAGATTTCAAATATACATCAAGATTTATCATACCACAGCTCCTATGCATAAGATTGCATGATATTTGCCTGATTTTCCTAGTCTTGCAGCAACTACACCAATTTCAAAACTACCAGGTACCCACACAACCTAAGGGAGAATAGAAAGTAACAAATTTCTGTCAGTATTCAAATCCAGCAGAAGGCGATGCGAAAATTATGAACAAAGCATGTACAAATCCTGCAGTATTCAAATACAGCAATTGCACTATTTTTGTCCAAAATCATGACCAAGGGTGAAAAAATTATACAGCTAACACTCCAAGCTAAAACTAAACGAAATAAATGCAAAAGTTTGCAATAAGATACAGAAGTAAATATTTTATAATCTCCAATGCATGATTAGAGAAAAATATGAGAGCGACAAAAAAGAAAAGATCGGCCTCTAGTTTTAGCCAAGGAAGCATGGGCCCTTCAAAAGTAGTTGTGACATGTTCTACCTGGGTCAAACACATCTCTAGTCAGACATTTCAAATTCTACTTGCTGCAGTTTACAATTTTTATTTTACATTTATTTCTTAAACTCTTACAAATACAGCAATTGCACTATTTTTGTCTGAAATCATGACCAAGTGTGAAAAAATTATACAGCTAACACTCCAAGCTAAAACTAAACGAAATAAATGCAAAAGTTTGCAATAAGATACAGAAGTAAATATTTTATAATCTCCAATGCATGATTAGAGAAAAATATGAGAGCGACAAAAAAGAAAAGATCGGCCTCTTGTTTTAGCCAAGGAAGCATGGGCCCTTCAAAAGTAGTTGTGACATGTTCTACCTGGGTCAAACACATCTCTAGTCAGACATTTCAAATTCTACTTGCTGCAGTTTACAATTTTTATTTTACATTTATTTCTTAAACTCTTACAAGCCAAAAATTAAAAAAAATGGATAAATAGTTGCATTTATTGTATCTACTATGACTTGGTTCATTGTTATAACATTGATTCTATTTCATTTAAATTTTTTGTTTTATTTTAATTCTATATTTTGAATTATAGCCATATCATGTCCAAGAACTTTTTAAATTTTCCATATTATATCCATGTTCTATGCCATATGTGCTTTCAAGGTTTTAGCCTATGACGGGTGCATAAATTTGCTTTACTTCATATTCAGTAAAACTCAATAATTTACATAACAGAATAAGTGAGAAAACAAAAATAAATTTCAAAAAGTATGCTAAGTGGAGACTTAACCAAATTACAATTGAAACAGTGTATATCACAAATAATCAATATTCCAAGAATTTACAAGACAGCTCACTTACATCAATGTCCTCATCTTGAACTGAATAATTCTTAAAAGTACCCAAAGCTCCCTCCAAGAGCTGCTTAGTAATGATTTCATTAAATCGTGCAACAACCTAAAAGCAAAAATGGAAATGAGAAACGAAACGTAAGAGAACTAGAAAAACTTACAAGTACAATCCAGTTTGAAGTAGAAAATAAATGCAAAATCTTGAAACAGAATATCATAACTTCTGCGTGATTCACTACCACGTTTCTCTAATTCATATTCCTCTATCAACACCATTCCATTTTCATTTTCCACTCTCTCCAAAAGACTTCCACCTCTTAAAATTTTCATTATTGTCAAAGCCTTAATCAATCACCAAAAAGCTTTAAAATTGGAATTCACCCTTGCTGTGTTTCATCATTTTATCATCTTCATCTGTTGAAAAGTGTTTGGGCACTATGTTGGAGTTCCTCATGCATACTCCAAAAAGTGAACTTTATTCTTGCAATCCAACTTCGGAAGTTCAGGATTCCTTCTAAGGGGAAGTCTTTCATTTGGCCTATTGTGTTTAATAGGAGTAATAAAAATAATTCGTTACACATCTGGCCACACAAAGATGTTTGTTTTGTGCCGTTAACAAACATCTAGGTACAAATTTTTTAGTATTCTGTGGGGGAATTAGAGTTTTTCTTGTTCAAAGATTTGGACAAATTACTAGTCAACCATTTTCGGTCTAGGAGAAGTATAAAAACATCCTTTGATGGTGTATACTCCTATGGAGTAATTTGGTGGTATCAATTTGTGATCCTTGTCTGCAATGGCTTTAGAGGGAACTGTGTGTCAAATACATAGAGAACAGTGTGCTCATCAGATTCTCCTGCAATGTTTTCTCTCTCATATTTTCGGTGCCTTCTTT